ATTGCAGAGAGAGCGATCAACATCTGGGAGAATGTATGTATGTATGTTAAGGCAGTTGAAGAGAAGAAAATCTCTCACCCAAAGAACAAGTCGTTTGAAACTGTTCAGAAGTGTACCAAGATGACTGATTTTCCAGCAAGACTGAGCTTTTTCATATCGGTGGCAAAGTTGGTCAATCCCTTTCTAACAGACTACCAAACTGATGCGCCAATGTTGCCCTTCTTCGCCGAAGAGATAACCAGAATGGTTGCTTCCATTATGCAGCGATTCTTAAAACTTGACAGGAGTACCCTTACTTCTCCTTACAAGATAATGCAGGTAGATATTAGCAGCGAGGCCATTCAGCTGCCTTTGAACAAGGTCGATATTGGATTCTACACTGAGAAAAAGCTAAAGGATCTGAAAGCAAAAAACATCATCAGTGAGCGAAGGATTCTGGAATTTCGCGTCCAAGCAAAACAGTTTCTTGCTGCAATTACCCTCAAGCTCATTGACAGATGTCCGCTTAAGTATGCACTTGTGAGAAATATGGGATGCTTAAATCCAAAGAGCATGGCAAAAGACAAAGAAAACTCTACTGCAAAGCTGAAAAGGATGCTTAGCTCCCTTACTGATGCAAACAGACTTGAGGATTCATGTGATGACATCCGAAGAGAATACTCAGAAGCATGTGATGAGGCATCAAGAAGCACAGAGATGAGAGAATTTGATCCGAAGAAAGACAGACTGGACTCTCTGATGTGCACATTTCTGTCTGAGTCTCGCTATTCATCTTTATTAAAGGTGGTCCGCATGCTGCTTGCCTCTATTGAAAGTGGATTCTCCGTCAACAACGAAGTTGAAGAGGACAATCTTCTAGGGCACTCGCTAATATCTTTCAGGGCTATATATGATCATATCAAATACGTAGGAGGAATTCAGAACATTATTATCGACAAGTCGCTCATGTTAGCCGCTTCAGCAGGTAGGCAAAAATACCATATGTATCTTGATGAGCAGAAACGTGAGAAGGAAAAGAAGGAAAGAAAAAGGAAAGGACTGCTTGATGAGATAGATGAACTGAAAGCTAAGAAGTCTAGACTGCAAGCAGATATCAAAAGTCTTCAAGAATCAGCAGACAATTTTGCAGAGGAAGCCGAGTCAACTGGCAGATTAACTTGTATATCCAAATCAAACAGCCTCCGACGTACAGCAAAGGAGAAGATGTCCCAGTTAGAAGTGATTCAGAAACAAATTGATGAACAGCTGAAAATGAGTTCTTCTTGAGACATCTTTGCTGTACGTCAGTAGCTGTTTGAAGTTGATTCAGCTTCCTCTGCAAACTTGTCTGCAATGCAGAGTCTTAATTTACGAATTCTTGATGGCATTGAGCTGTTCATCAATTTGTTTCTGAATGATTTCTACTTTAGACATCTCCTCTACTGTACATACAGAGCTGTTAACACGCTTGTTAACATAGGAGACTGTTTGATTTTGATATACATGTCAAACTGTCAGTTGATTTAGCTTCCTCTGCAAACTTGTCCACTGTGTCTTACTTTACAAATTCTTGATGACACAGAAACAAACTGATCAGCTAAATGCCACAAATAATGCATAATGTAAATATTTTGTTGTTGTTAATGGGGGGGATGCAAAAGAAGAGACGGTGCAGTATATACACTTTGCTTTGGGATCAAATTTTTTGGTCTACCATGTAAAACTTTGTTCAAAAGTCATGGAATTCTGGCTTGAAAGGTCATGGAAAGTTATGGAATTTCACATGTAAGAAAGTGTATGAACCCTGGATACAGTAAAATCATTGTTACGGAAAAAAAAATGTCCACAATAAGTTATTTTTAATAACAATGCAAAGCTCTCCTGAGTTACATATACAGTCTGGCTAAGATAAGTTAAACACATCATGGTCTGACTCAGATAAATGTAAATTGCATTACATTCCAACATCTGTCATCCTAGGCTAATCATCAATAAATTCTGATGAAAAAGATGTAGACATGAAATAGTTGTAGTTTTCTGCTCCTGGACTGTTTTATCTCACGAGTCTAATAAAAAAACTGTAGAGATGATAAAACAGGAGATATCGCAAATAAAATTACTAGTAAAATCAAAACAGCTAAAACAAGAGGTTGACATCAATCCTATCAAAATGTTGAACCTTATCTCATATTAGGTGTTTTCATTTTACTATAATGTAAAGTCATTGTAGGTATGTGATTGGTTTTTCATCATGGTCAAGTTATTAGCTTGTAGTCAACTGTAATGATTATTTTGGTTACTTTGTGCACTCAAGTACATGAAAATGTCAGTCACTCCAGACAGTGAAAGGAGATTTGTTTACTTATTATATCTAGCAGAAATACCCACCCTCCGGGCAGGTATAACTGCTACTTCCTGTGGAGGGCTGTTGGGCCTGCGGCCTTTTCTCGAATTGTCTCACAGTTCTATAACAATGTACTCATATTGGACATTCACTAATGTTGACCATCCACGAGAAAAAGGAATTTATTGAAATTTTAGTTTAAAAATGAGCTATCAATCACAGCATTACATCGCAGAGTAGATTTTATTGAAGTACTTTTTTTATAGACGCAGTTATCAATGAAACTGCCTTGCTTTTCTGTTGCAACACTCATGAGATTTTCTCTAAAGAAATACATAAGTACTTAGGATATTGCATTCCATTTACATCATCACTATTTTCTAATATCGGCTACTCTATGATATTATATATGTATTAGGGTGGTCCTTATTTTTAAAGTTTTCAATTACAACATCTCGTGCCCCCTCATTTTGTTCCAATATATAAATAATTCATACCACATCCATTTTGAATAATATTTAGTGGTTGCTCAAGATTGTTGTAATTTTACCCTGTAGCTCACGTTATATCTGCATATTCTGGAAGGTTCTAGCACATTTTGGAATATTTGATAGTTTATATATTCAAGAATGTTCCACAAGTAAATAATGCATGTTGTCACGTTTTACTTGTAGAATAATCTGTATGATGTGACAGTAGTTTTTATCATTTCTACAACACAATATCAGGTCAATCATTTTCTTATATGATTATCGAGAGCTTCATGAACTAGCCGTAATATTTCTTGGTGGCATCCCTTTTTGTGAAGCACAATTTATAGTACCTGGAGCACTGCAGCATGTATGACATATATATATATATATACCCTTGAGATCTGGATATTTATGGGACAGTTTAAGCTCACTGTATGACATTACATCTTGGAACATGGTTCACTGTTCCTCGTACCATTTCTGCTCCTCACAATAATCTTAACTTCTCAGAATGTCTTGTTAAGTACAACAGGGTGAATTCTGCTCTTTTAAAATCTGCCTGTAAAATATTTTCTGGACATCTATGGCATCTTAATGAGGAACTCGTTTATTTCACATTCTTTGATTCAGCTGTACCCACAGAAACAGAACAAACAATGTACCAAAGAAGAAGGAAAGCATGGATGAACCATCCAGCTGAATATCAAGAAGTCTGATGAAATGGGAATTGAAAATTTTGTTACCAAGAATACAATATCTTGAGGCATCTTTAAATTCCATCTGGATTTATGGATTATGACCTCGAGTCGTGGGAGCTCAGAGAAGACTGCAGACAGTTCAACACCTGAATGTGGTAAATGACGATGCTGAAAGGGGTGTGGACCTTATCGATGAGTATAATGCCATCACAACAACAAGAAAAAACAGAAATAATTCCATCTTTGAGTTGTGCAGGATCATAGATAATGCTTTCTTAACAGCAAGAAGGAAACAATGACAATGGAAAAATGACTAACCACACCAAAATCATGTAATTATATCACTGAAAAATGACTAACCACACCAAAATCATGTAATTATACCACTGAAAAATGACTAACCACACCAAAATCATGAATTATACCATTTAAAAATGACTAACCACACCAAAATCAGGTAATTATACCATTGAAAAATGACTAACCACACCAAAATCATGTAATTATACCATTTAAAAATGACTAACCACACCAAAATCATGCAATTATACCACTGAAAAATGACTAACCACACCAAAATCATGTAATTATACCATTGAAAAATGACTAACCACACCAAAATCATGTAATTATACCATTGAAAAATGACTAACCACACCAAAATCATGTAATTAGACCATTGGAAAATGAACTAACCACACCACAATCATGTAATTATACCATTGGAAAATGACTAACCACACCAAAATCATGTAATCATGTAATTCATGCAATAAAATAAATCATTTATAATACATAAATATGTTTTATATCACACACTACCAGACCACTGCAGTCTAGATTCAGTCTTATTTAGCAACCTCTAAATATGATCCAAAATGGATGAAGTTTAACATTTAATGTTTTTCTGTACATGGGAACAAAATTAGGGGGTCAGAGATTTAGATATTTTAACCTGAAATTGTATCTGCAAATAAGGACCATAGATAGTTATTTGATACCATACTGTATAGACCTATCATATAATACTTTTTTATGTATATTGTATCTAAACTCCTTTATATAACTTTTAAATGTAGCAAAGTGCTTTATGACTGCATTAGTGTACCAGTTTATATATTTTTTAATTATTTTCCAGACAGCACAGGAAATAGGTATCAACCTAAATCAACAACTTGTAGAGAAAGTCAAGTTGGAGTCTTCAGTAAAGAAAGATAGGAGGGGTTTTTTAACATAAAAAATATGAAGTACTTTGTAAGCTTGTTATACATTAAAATTTTACTTTTCACCGTACTTGTTTTCAAGTGTTTTGATATTCCATTACATATCATAATATTTAGATAAACTGGCTTGAAAGATATGGATGTTCCCAAACACTAGCTGGTATTTATACATAGTCTAGATTGTAAATTTATAATGTAGAAAGCAAATTAGACATTCCATTGTATTTTTTTCTTTGAAGTCATTTTCGGAAAAACATTAAAATCACACCAGTAAATGAAATATGTTCTGGTATTAAAAGTAATGAAAACTATAACCAATAGGATAACATTCTATAATACAAGAGGTATTTATTACAAAAATGTTAGACTTCAAATTGTTATTTAATAAAATTAGCATATGCCTGTGAATATAAATTTAAACTTGTTCACTGACAGTTAGATTTATAATACTAGTTGTAAAATAGAATAAAAAAACAACAACATTAAAGAGCAGGTTGTCACACTTTTTCTATTTTTATTGCATGGTTGGCTAATACAGTAATTAGTGTAGAGTACTTAAATACACAATACAATGTTAATCATACTAACAAGAATAAAATTTTGATTCTATGTTTTCCTTCTATAGAAAAGTAAATAGCCAACTATTTTAGTTCATATATAAACAGTACATCTAACACTGTATGAATAAAAACTTCCATCTTTAACAATTATATAATTTCTCTAATTTTTGTTCATTTATCTTAATTAACTGTCAACGGTAAACTTTTTATATAATTAATAACCTGAATTAAGCTAAACACTTATTTTAATTACAGTTTCAATAATTCATTGTTGAAGAAACAAAGATGATATTTTTATGTCAGCAAATAATATTTTCTGTTGTATAATAAAACTACAGTTCAACAACTACAAATATATCATAATTGAAAAAAAAAGAAGTTTTTTAGGCAAACTTTTACAGCCAAGCAGAACTTCCTATGATAGTGAAGATGGAATGTTACTCTGAAGTTCGCAACTCCCGATCTCCCAAAGGAAGAGGCGGACGGTAATTTTCAACAATGTAGCCTTCAAGTTCTCCTCCAGGATTTTCCTGACCTTTGCAGTAGGACTGAAGCTTACGGAATGCTTCCAGCTGGATAACAGAACCGTGGCAGATCACATAAACTTGCATTGTAGATTATTATAAGCAGGAGTACAACCATTTGCATTTCATTATTACGCTTAAAATATGTGAAATATAAATGCTGATAATTTGCTCAACAATGCACATGGGCTACTTTGCTTTAGGAGTTTTTGCTGAGAAGAGGAAGAAAAAGCCCCTGAAATAGGGCATTTCCAGTTTTTTCTAGACTTTGATTTTCACTTCCCAGCATTGACTGGCTCAATTACTGTAATTTTTGGTATGGTAACTGGGCACTCTCTGATGCTATACATGGACTATTTTGTTTTAAAATATTTGCCCAAGAAGGGCAATAAAGAACACACCCTGAAATACTACACATTTCACTTTTTTTGTAGACTTTGTGATTTAGATTTAAAGACACAAGTACTTAATCAGTTAAACAAGTCAATTACTACCCTTCCCAAAGCAGGGTATGTAATTAACATCTAATGAGATCATTAGTGATTAATAACAAAAGGAAGAAGGAAGGGGTATGTAATCTAACATTGTTCTTCATACAATTTTTTTCTTCCCTAACGGGTACCCTCAGCTAGTAAATATATATGATTATCAATCATAGTTAATGTTATATTCTAGTCACAGTAAAGCTGTAATATGCATTGTAAAGCATTGCAAACCTAATCCAATAATTTTTAAAGGTTTACAGAAGATAACATGTTACATGCAACATTTCTTACCTGATCTTCTGATACCTGTATAGTGTTCTTTAGCACAATCCAATGTAGCATTTCTTACCTGATCTTCTGATACCTGTATGGGGTTCTTTAGCACAATCCAATGTAGCATTTCTTACCTGATCTTCTGATACCTGTATGGGATTCTTTAACACAATCCAATGTAGCATTTCTTACCTGATCTTCTGATACCTTTATGGGGTTCTTTAGCACAATCCAATGTAGCATTTCTTACCTGATCTTCTGATACCTGTATGGGATTCTTTAACACAATTCAATGTAGCATTTCTTACCTGATCTTCTGATACCTGTATGGGATTCTTTAACACAATCCAATGTAGTATTTCTTACCTGATCTTCTGATACCTGTATGGGACTCTTTAACACAATCCAATGTAGCATTTCTCACCTGATATTCTGATACCTGTATGGGGTTCTTTAACACAATCCAGTGTAGCATTTCTCACCTGATCTTCTGATACCTGTATGGGGTTCTGTAGCACAATCCAGTGTAGCATTTCTTACCTGATATTCTGATACCTGTATTGGGTTCTTTAGCACAATCCAATGTAGCATTTCTTACCTGATATTCTGATACCTGTATGGGGTTCTTTAACACAATCCAGTGTAGCATTTCTCACCTGATCTTCTGTATACCGTAGTATGGGGTTAACTTTAGACTACTAATCCTTAATGTAAGTACCAATAC